ATTATTTATTTTAACTTTTTACTGAAGTATCATCTATGTACAGAAATGTACACACATATTAAGTGTATAACTTGATGAATTTTTATAAACTGGCCACCTGCCAGCAACACAAAAAAACAGCTAGTACTTTTTCTTTTCTCCTGAACTCCTTATCTCTGCTTCCCATGATCTAATACTCCCCCTAACCAAATGTTAACAAATTCACCCTTTTTTCCACTCTACAATACTTCTGAAAAAGAATGAATTCTTCCCCAATGTAATGAATCCGTATGCTGTTGATATATTCCAGAAACTAAATATGCAGAACATGACTTTTTGAAATAGCCATTTTAGCATGATTTTGTAAAGAAAAGGGAATTATCTCCATAATAGGATCAACTTCGGGAAGATACTGAGCATGCACAGGTTTGGATTTCGGCCAGATAATGCACGCTTCAATCAGCAAAGTTCTTGGATAATTATAAAAGAGGATAGACATCCTTATTATGAGCAAAATGGTTCTTTTTTTATACGATCTAAGTTCAGTAAGTTCCTGCCACATTGTTATTCATCCAACATCCTATGCTCCACATTTTAAAGATGAAAATGTTTATTCTATCCCCTTTTTTAGTTCCCTCGGTACCCCATTGCAAATGGTGCCTCTAGATTTATTATACAGTAGGACAGGAGTGTTGGATTCTTGCCTTATTTTACAACTATTCATATCTGAAGTCCTGATTCGCTAAACTTAATGACCTTTTTAAAAACTAAACTCAGATGACTAATAGTTATACAAATATTTTTTCTTTTCCCTGTTTGTCTTTTTTCCATTGTTTTGATTTGCTAGTCCTTTGGAAACTTTAAAGCTTATTCTCATTAAAGTGTTTTAAGAATGCTGAATCAACATATGTTATTTTAAATCCAGCCTCCCTAAGATTTTCCTCTCCTATAATGGATATATACATATATATTTTTTATAATTGCATAAGTATTATATATAGTCTTTATGTATATGTGTGTGTGTATATATATATATATATATAGTCTTAATAGCAACTATCATTGCCAGATACCCCGAACACATGGCCAGACTGTATCTTTTAAGCTTTTCCTTCTGTGTCTTCTACTATAGCTATTTATGCAATTAGAATTTTTAGAGTGCTTTTGAAATCAAGCTAATAGATTTTAAAATTTCTGACTTTACCTTCCTTACCACATATGAAGGCTTAATTATGTTTGCAATCGTCCAGACTCTATCTTGTAGATGTCTGTGAGTAATTCTTTCCGGACATATGTGAAATCAGAGGGAAAATATGCCTTTAATGGATAAACCAATCATGAAATTGTAACATCTTTTACTAATAACTTATGGATGCAACAACAATGAAACCCTCGCATCTTAATGTCAGGTGTATAGCACATAAAAGGCTCCAGGAGAGAGGCATATGTCTAGTATTTATATACTTGTATTAAGTACAGCATTTGAAATATGTCTTCAAAATGTATGCCAAAAAAAAGATGAGAAATTACCAAAGCATCTGTTCCCTGGGGGAAAAAAAAAAAACACTTCAAGAATAAGCCACAAAATATAATAACTTTATTGATTTTGGACACACATGGAACCAGAGACAATACATGAATAGTCTAATTCTTCTCTTTCATTAATTCCAGGGAGTAAATAGTTATTATTTCAACATGTTACTGTTTTCCAATACAAGAAAAACAGATTAATACATGGAGCTTTGCATATTTCTTACTACCTAGTAAGGATCTCTCCTTGTCCACTGTTTAGATTTTCGGCTGAATTTGATTTCCGGACATATGACTCAGAAGGTGTCATACTGTATGCAGAATCTCTCGATCACTCAGCTTGGTTCCTGATTGCACTTCGCGATGGGAAAATTGAAATTCAGCTTAAGAATGAATATACAGCCAAAATCATAACTGGAGGCAAAGCTATTAATAATGGTCTATGGAATATGGTACGCATGTAGATTTCATGAATATCATTTCATGTTGATGTTGTTTGCATAAAATCATATTTTATTTTTATAGTGATACCAAACCACGATGGCTTTGGATTTATCTGATGTTATATGAAGTGCATTCCACACACAGCACGTCCCCGAAACATGCTATCCTCGTTTAATGTATTTAGGATTTCTTGTAATTGAAATTATTTTTCGTTGTTCGCTTGAATCACTCTGTGTTTAACTTGTTGCCTTTTTTAGTGGCTGCCATTTGGTGACCATGGTGACTCTCTCATAGGTGAGGCATTATTAGCAGGCCTGATAGTTCCTGCAAAGGGACCACCGATCAAAGAATACTACCCTTAATTGCTACCAGTATTTTCAAAATTTAAAAGAAATGAACAAAGTAACAAAATTTAAAAGTTAATTCAATCTTTTGAATTGGGTGGGTACCAGTCAACGTGCTTAGAAACTAGCATTTTTATATAATCCGACAAATGGCCTTTATTTGAATAATTGAGAATAATACTTTAATCAACTGAATTAAAATGAGACTTTTCCTGGAGAAGAGATTACTGCTAGTCCACAGTGGAGAGAAGTCTTTTCTGCAGTAAAGTCCCTGCTGCTGGCAGCAGAGGATAGCTGAGAGAAGGTCAGCATCACGTTAGAGGGTGGTGCTCTAAAGAAAGCTTCTCTGCCTGCAGGAGCTGGGAGAGGTCTGCGCTGAGAAGCCATGTCAGGTCATCACCAAACACTTTCATTCCTTCACTTATGCACTCATGAACTCATTTATTTAATAAGGTGTTAATGAGCAGTTTTAAAGCGCTAGGTTCCTGAGTTCATGGCACAGAGCTATAGCAAGAGATTTTCCATGCTCTTGAGCTTAGTACCACAGAGATAAGTAGCTAATGCTGCTTTATGAACGAATACAATGTAAGACAATCTTCCCATTAAATGGGAAGTGTGTAATTGGAGCATAATTCATTCATTGACCACTTTATGTAATAATCCGCATTCCAAAAGGTAAGGATCCAACAATGAGACTTGTAGCAAGATACATACAATAAATGCATGAACAAATAAATACATAAGCTAGTCATTAATGCTCTGAGGAAAAAGAAGAGCCAGGCAAGGCTTGGCAGAGTGTGATGATAGTGTGCATGTAGATTCAGGAAAGACATCTCTAAGGAGATGACATCTAAGCTGAGATATGAAGACACGGCATGAAAAATAAAAAGGGGTATTACAATAATTCTTTATTATGTGAACAGCAAGTACACAAGGAGAGGATGGGAGAAGATGCCTTTGGTGCTTGAGGAATGCCACCACGAAGACTAGCATAGATTCGGCGGAGTGAGAGATGGGGAGAGTAGTTAGAAATGAGATCAGAAATGGGATCTGGAATAAGATCATAGAGCCCTGAGGGCCATGGTGAGGGGGAAAGTACTTCTACAAAAGGTATTTCAATATATAAATAGTCAAGTACAACTATCATACTTTTCATAGCTTTCTTCTATACTTAAATTAAAGTGCTGGGCTGTTGAATTAACAATTCAAATACCATAAGTGCGTAAATGGTGTTGCCCTCAGTACTATTAATTTTCCAAAGTGGTAAGAAACTCTGGGTAGAGATCTAAGTAAACATCATTATGTCCTTGAATGACAAAATTACTATATTCTTGAACAATTTAATGAATACTAACAGGGTGCAACAACTGTTTTGTATTTCTATATACATAAACTCAGATAGTTATAAGCGTGACTATATAGTGGAGATTTCCCGAAGGTTTTCAGGATACTGGATATTTTGTTACTTACTGTACAGGGGTAGCCTGTGTATCACATCATGCCCAGCATCTTTCTACACCAGCACGGCTCCTACTCATTGTCAGGAAACGAAGTGCTCTCCATCCTCAAATATTCTAAGTGCCCTAGAGCGAGGTCCTGGAATCTCCCTGAAAATGTGCACGTGCATGGCTAAAGGGAGAAGCTCTAGGGCCTGAACTCCGGGGCTGTGAGTAGAGGCTGAGAAGAAGAGAAGGATCCAGCAAAAGAGACTGAGAAGGAGTAGTTGGGATGAAGAGGGAGGAGCAAACCAGAGTCACGTCCTGAAGGCAAAGTTAAGACCGGGTGTACAGGAGGGAATTGTCATCAGAGTAAAATGCTGCTGAGTGCTATGTTCAGGCTGGAGTGCTGACCCACTTTATAAGCAGTATTAAATTTTACTTCTGAGGATAGTTTTCCCTTCCCATAATGGTGTCTTATATGCCCGTCGTTCGGCTTCCAAGACTGACTACTAAGTGGAGGATGTGCTTTCTGAGTGCTGTGGTCTCACGTGCCGTGATTGCAGCAATAGTTCTTTAAACTCCCTTTAAGGCAGGATTTTTTTTTTATTCTTGTTTACCTTTCTTCCAACCCTTCTTTTATTAAACCCAGCCGTCCTTCAAAGTCGGAAAATTCCAATTTAATTTTACATATGTCCTTCCTGATGGCATCGATCACTTTTGATTTTTGAAAGAAAAGATAATTTGTGTGTAATGAGCAGAATACTGGACATACTGATTCTCTTAGATATTAAGAACTTACATTATTGATTCCATATGTGCCATATCAAACGATTACAAAATAAGAGCACTTCAAATTTTTCTCAGATAGAATGGCTCATTCTTTAGAAAACTGTTAATTTTATAGCATACTAGGATTGAAACACTTAATTGAATGTTTTAATAGGATGACACTGATCTTTTTAACTTGAAAAAATGACGTTTTTAATTTTTGATCAAGCACTATCACCTTAAAACATATTTTTATTGCATTAAACATAGTTTGGCATTTCAAATGTGTGGGAACAAAGTAATAATTTCATTAAGATGATTATTTGGGGAAATGATTTATTGGAATGATGACAGGATTTTTCAGTCCCAGTGTTTCAAATAAGATGCAGTAATGCTTGGTTGTTTGGTAATTTTTGTCTTTTTAATTGTAGGTGTCTGTAGAAGAATTAGAAAATAGTATCAGTGTCAAAATAGCTAAAGAAGCTGTGATGAATATAAATAAACCTGGAAGCCTTTTTAAGCCTACCAATGGATTTTTGGAAACCAAAGTATACTTTGCAGGATTCCCTCGAAAAGTGGAGAATTCACTCATTAGATCGGTAATGATCCGAGTTTGTATCATTCATCATGGATGAATTCCTTTTGCCTATAATGGGTTTGAAGATGTGTTTTTCTGAGAATCAATAGAGGTTATTTTGTTAAACATTCCAAGTGTAACAATTGGAGTAAGAACATGGAAAAATAAGATTAGTGACCCTTGAAATTACATTAAAGAAATAAGAAAATGAAAAATGAATGTGGTATTCTTGTGCTCATTTAAATCCATAGCATTACTCAGGGAAATGTAGATTTTTTTTAAATTTTCAAGTGTCAATTCAGTATAAATAGTTTACACTTAGCCAATAAATACACATGTAAATACATATGTTGGAGTCTAAAATTACATTATTTGGTAGAAGTCAATCAAGGGACTTTCTCAGGTCTATGTTCAGGCCGGAGAAATGTGAAATTTCAAGGATAGCACAAAAGGTGGAATTTATTATTAAGAAAAAACTTTACTGAGGGTATAGCTACAATCTGTTATAAATTGAAATTAGATATAACAAATGATTTTCTGAATATGACGTTTGTTTAATAACTGTAGAACAGGTTTCATGAAAGTGACTTATTACTGTCCTTGGAGAGTTTTAAAACTTTCATTTGAAATCATAGCCTTGCCAGATACACTTGCTAATTTAATTTAAATATTGACTATTTTATATCCATCTTTCACTCATGACAATTCAGTTACTTTAACTTTTAAGAAATTTCTGTGACATGATATTAAACTTGAATTAGTTAATCTGTGTCAAAATGAATATGCCTCTTCATTGAAACTGATAAATCTAGACACTTTAAAAATAACATAAATTATTCAGACAGAACCAACCATTTATGACATAGCTACTACACGTCTTGAACCTGGCTAGATGCTTTGATGGAGGCTTCAGAACGTACATACTTTTGTGCCTGAAGTGGCTTAGAGTCTGATTGGTAGGACTAGCCTATATTGTGAATGAAACTCAAGGAAAACAGAAAGCATCTTACAGCCAGGTTTATAAGTAGAAGCAAATATAGAACTTGAGAGCAGAAAAGTTGACTGAGGAGAGGCAAGTGGTGCTTGAGGTGTTAAAAATCAACAGGATCCCACTGAGGGCCTGTGATGGCATAAACTCACTCTTCCTAAAAGACTGTCTGAAGGACTTCTTAAAAGAAAACTTTAGATAAAATTTGAAATATTTGAAATATTTTATAATGTCATCAAATATAGGATTGTTTCTCTGAATGAAAACCTATGCCCATAATCAAATAAGCCACTTATTTGACTTAGTTTAAAATGCACCCCTTGACCTATGTTTTCATTTGTTAGATTAACCCTCGTTTAGATGGGTGTATAAGAGGCTGGAATCTGATGGAGCAAGGAGCTTCAGGAGTAAAGGAAATTATTCAAGAAAAACAAAACAAGCATTGCTTTGTTACTGTGGAGAAGGGCTCCTACTATCCTGGTTCTGGAGTTGCTCAATTTGCCATTGATTATAGTAAGTGATTTCCCATTTTATCTTTCTTTTCTCGTTAATGACTAAAATTATTATTGATAAATGTCAACGATTCCTTTAGTAAACATTATTGAGTGTCTACCATGTGCTTAGAATAATCTTAGGTTTATTCATAGTGTTATAGACTTCATAATTTCTTTCAGTATATTGGAAAAAATATAAATACAATTGAATATGCTTATGTTATTATTTAAAGTTGCTTGGTATATAGACTGATTCGTTTTGGTAAATTTGATTGACTTATTTCAAAGTTTGCTGATTTCTCAGTTGTTCGGAGTCTACTGATTAATGGATTCATCTTCATTTATAGCACTTGCATATGATCTTTTCTTAAAATGTCTACTTCTTTGGTGAAATTCCCTATTTACACATGTGATCTAGCTTATTCATCAGAGCCTTCAACATACACACCACAATCATTTTAAATTTCCTGTCTAATAGTTTCACTTGTATTGTATCTATGTCTGGTCATGGTGATTGCTTTGTCTCTTGACTGTGTGTTGTTTTTCTTCTATATCTGTCATGTAGAGAGTGGCATAAATAATATATTTTTTCCTCTGGGACTGACTAGACTTCTTTTTTGACTGGATCTGAGAACTTCTTTTGTTCAAGTTGAGACCCTTGAGTTTTATTGTTGCCAGGGTTACCCTTAGTGTACTCCAGGTTTCAAAATCTTCTAATAATACCTTCTGCTTAGGATAGGAGCTGGTTTGTTAGACTTGATTTTCAGCTTTTCTTAAAGGCAGCTAATTCAGTGTTAGGTATTCCCTTTATGATATGCCTCAAGAAAGTATCCCTTGGCTTGGCGCCTGTGGCTCAAGTGGCTAAGGAGCCAGCCACATACACCTAAGGTGGGGGATTCGAATCCAGCCCAGGCCTGCCAAACAACAATGATGGCTGCAACCAAAAAAAAAAAAAAAAAAAAATAGCCAGGTATTGTGGAGGGCGCCTGTGGTCTCAGCTACTTGGGAGGTGGAGGCAGGAGACTTGCTTGAGCCCAGGAGTTGGAGGTTGCTGTGAGCTGTGATGCCATGGCACTCTACCCAGGGGCACAGCTTGAGGCTCTGTCTCAAAAAAAAAAGAAAGTATCCCTCCCTGGCCTTGCCACCCTGGCAGAGTGCTCTCACTTGCTACTTGACATTTGTTGACATTGTAGAGAGGGCCTGGGGGCCAGGAGAGGTTTCTCTATTGTTCTGGTTCGGATTCAGTCCCTGGGTCCTAGGTCTCATGGGTGTGGACTTTTTATTGTTTCTCTTCTCCTGCCCTCACCAGCAGGGGAAATATCTAATAATCAGGGCTCAAGATGGTTTCCTAATCCTCCTCCATGGTAAATAGTTGGGCGGGGGTGTGATTTATTTGGTTTGTTTGATTTGGTTTAGTTTGTTTTTTTCTGTTTCCCTTTCTCTAAGCAGTAGGTGCAGTGGGTCTTCATATATGTCCTGATGAAGGTTTTGTGGCCTTTCCCCCAATGCTCTAAGGCTGTTGTTGTGTAGAGGAAACAGAGAAAGATCTGAGTGGAGATTTTTGCTTTTCCTGCAGCTGGTGCTACTCTCAGGACCATGCTAGGAAGGAGCCTTTCTCTGGTCTCTTTCTCTGCCCCCAGTCTCCTCTTGAGCACCTAATTAAGTCTGTGGAGAAGAGCCTATGACTAAGTATGAATTTCCCTCGTGTCCCCAGTTTCTAGGATTTCTGAACTCACGAACTGACCCAAACACAGAGTTTAGAAATTTGTTGAAAGTTTTACTAAATCATTTTTTTCCAGTTGTGGGACACGTGGTATCTGCCCTGGGTAAGAAAGTGTTCTCATCCTGGCTGTTCTTGGAAGCATCTGTCTTTTTTAAGGTTTCTGGTTAGTTGGCTGCTCTGCAATCTCAGCTCTTCAAGAGTTCAAGTAAAGTTGTGATTATGCAGACAACTAGGGTTTCATTGTTGTAAGAGCGGGACTAGTGCTCTTTGCAGTTCCTACAGCTGGAGCAGGAAGTCCTGCCTGGCTGCCCCCAGGCTTTTACCTTTACCAGTAATTCTTCCGTGGACATCCTTGAACTCACGTCCTGGTGCTCATCCTGATGTACTTCATCATCTCCATGAAAGGCTGTGGAAATACGTATTCATTACAGGTTTGATTACATTCTCTTCCAAAGATCTTTTATCAGATCATACTTCCACCAACAGAACGAGAAAGTTTGTTTGAGATATGTTTCTAATCTGATGGTTTAAAAATTAAATTTTATAGTTTAAAATATTATTTGTCTATTTTTTACTGAACTTGAATATCTCTCCATGCTTACTAATTATTTTCACATTTTAATCATATTATCGAGTTCTTTGTCTTTTTGTGTTTTAGTTCGTTATTTGAGCTGCTAACAATTTGATTATAAATTAATGTGTTTCTGATATGCATGTATCTATCCTGTAATAAAAAGTTATATTTTAAATGTGTTTATTCATAGCCATAAAAATAATTACTGTTATTAATTATATATTATTAATTTCTGTTTTCCTAACATAAATTAACATAATTCCTTTAACTGTAGCTCTGTGATGCACATAAAGGATTTTTCTTAAAATGTCATAAATGGGAGAGATGATTCACTGTAGAGAAAAAAGTAAGCCCATGATGATGAAAGGGAAAGTTGTATTGTACCTGAAAAGGTTACTTTCATAAGTAATTAGTTATTTACAGATAACTTAAAAGTGACTTCCTATGTAATTAATATTTAATTTTACATAACTTCTATATATTTTCATATTCACTTTAGTTTGAGTTTCTTAATATCCTGTGTTAAGTTTACTTATTTCACAATGATTATGCATTTTCTTCTGAATGGGATTTACAAAGATTCTGCATAGCTTTACGAAGAAAAATGTAGTAGCATTATATGTGACTAAATGGACCAACATTTGTCAAAGAAAAATTATTTTCTCCATTCACATTCACCCTTTCAATTGCTTGAGGTAGTATTTAGGTTTTTTTATAAGTTACATCATATGAAATGAGGGAGTCTTCATTCAGATGGTGAGCTAACATTTTCAGGAATCTAATTATTCTAGAACCATAATTAGTTCAATAATATTTATTGAATGACTGTTTTGAAAAACAAAATGGTGGTGCAACCATGTACCTCCTAGAGCTTGCACATTAGAGGGGTAAGCTATTTACATAGTAATTAAGAAAGAGAATCTTATATACAAAGGTAAGAAAATCGGAGAACAAGAGCCCCCATTCTAATTTTAAAACTAATATTGATGTCAAAGTTAATTCTGTGCTGTCAAACTATCCACCTCCCCTTTGTATATAGATCATATTTATTCTTCCCATTGCTGTAAGATGGAAAGTGTTGGGGTAGAGATGGCAGCTATACTCAAATTTCCCACAGAAATTAACAGTAAATGTGTTGGACTGCCTTTTAAGTGTGTACTTTAAAATATGACCACTCTGAGATTTGAGCATCGGTCGACATGCAAGGGGGGAGGAAGAGGTTTTAAAGAGCAAACAAGAAAAATTTATTATAATCCTTAACACCACACTCTAGAATTCTCTTCTAGGAACCCCAGACAGAAGGGGCTCTACTTGCCTGCACTGAAAAACAAAACCATGGTAGATCATTAAGAAAGAGAACTAAAATCTTTAGTATTACACAAAGATGGCTTTGAATATTAATCAGATTATTATACTTCCTTCTGATGCCCTTTAAGAGTACGTTGATCCTGCTTCTGTTTCCTTGTTTTAAACAGATAACATAACCAATGCTGAAGGTTGGCAAGTGAATGTGACCTTGAATATTCGCCCATCTGCGGGCACTGGTGTTATGCTGGCCTTGGTTTCTGGTAACACAGTGCCCTTTGCCTTGTCCTTGGTGGACTCCACCTCTGAAAAATTTCAGGTAACTTAACTCTAAACCTATATGAGCCTCATTTTTCTCTGCAGTTTTAAATGGATATAATAGTAATACTTACCTCAAAAGGGCTATTTTGGAGATTAAATGATGAAATTTATGTGAAGTATTTGGCACAATCTTCAGCACATAGTTAAGAACTCAAAATATGTTCATTATTATTATTTTTTTGCTGGCTTATTTTCATGATCTGAACCAAGAAGTGAGGAACGGGGAACTGGGAAACCTCCGTCTCTAGGTAAGATTAGGCAGACTCTCTAGATTTCTCTAGAATCTTCTACGTCTATAGGTAAGATTAGGCAGCCTCTCACTCAGGCAGCGTGGAGCCATCACAGGTACACAGAAATCCACACTTCCTCTGAACCCCTGAAGCACTGTAGGAAGTGAATCTGATTACGATCCACTCTCAGATATTCAGTGCTTAATTATAATGCTTTGTGCTTTCTTGCACTCTTAATCTTTTCTCTCAGGAGTAAATTAGGAAAGGTGATTAAAGTAAAACTCGTCCACTTGGCAACTCTTATTTGAAATTAGGAGGAAGAACAGCAAAATGTCTTAGATAGAAGGGAACATGAGAGTTATCAGAAGATCTCAGTTGTTCAGATTTCCATTAGAGGCTAATACCCCTGTCCTTAAGTCATTCACAGTGGATTCCAAGTTACAGAAAGCAGCTTCTGTTTAGGCCAGCGTTGGGTTAGATGCTTGCAGTAGCTGTTAGAAAAACACATACAGTTGAGTAATAATAAAGGACACTGTTTGCAACTTAATAGATGATTGGGGCAGCGTTGGGGGAGTTTCTAGTGGTTAATAGTAAGTAACCTAAAGAGGTCCTGCTGAGTTCTGGTTGTTTTTTTTTTTTTTAATCTCCAAGTATAAGGACCTCTCTACATTTCGATTTCAATTTTTCTTTTTTTGTTTGCATGTTGTTGTTTTTTTTAAACAAAATGGAATTCCTATCTTCACTACATCTGTGCCGTGGGGGAGTTTATGCATTCCGTGTCTTTGATATTTATTTTATCCTTTCTATGTTCATCTCCATGGTTCTTATTTTTTCACACCAGATTTTCTTCTCAAGGTCTGTATATAATATTTCATACTAGTGTTCTGCAAACCATTGATCATTCTGGAGAATTTTCTCACTTGACCACCTTTTTTAATGAGTTTAAGGATAACGGACATACATAACACGATAACAGATTTCTTCGAATAACTTCTATTTATGAAATACAGACATTTCACTTAACATAGGTATCTTGGATTCCTAAGTAAACAGTTCAGGCTATCTTTCTACCACCTGGGAAGCATGATGATACCTGTCTCTTTAGTTTTTATTTTATTTTTTTCTCTGTTACTTTTGATATTTCCTCTGTACCATGTATGTTACATGTACAGACCACTCTCAACAAATTCAGTAATTTAAGTAATTTAAATTTGAAAATTTTAGCAAATTGAATATGTTTTGTTTTTTGAGAATCTTCTGGAAACTACTCTGTAACATACTGCTGGCAATCCCAGGTTTTTCTTTCTTGGGTCCTCCTCTATATGACAGCTTGTGTGGCACAAACAAACCTCCTAGTCCTGCTGGCCTGGCATGTGCTTTCTAAAGCTCTTTAAATTTTCCAAGTCTTTTCCCTATTTTTAATACATATGCTTACTTTGAAACTAGGAATCCTGGCTCTGCGTCTATAGCTCAAGTGGCTAAGGCACCAGCCATATACACCAGAGCTGATGGGTTCGAATCCAGCCTGGGCCTACCAAACAACAATGACAACTCCAACCAAAAAATAGCCGGGCGTTGTGGTGAGGGCCTGTAGTCCTAGTTACTTGGGAGGCTGAGGCAAGAGAATTGCTTGAGCCCAGGAGTTGGAGGTTGCTGTGAGTTGTGAGGCCACAGCACCAGGGAGACAGCTTGAGGCTCTGTCTCAAAAGAAACTAGGAATCCTTATAAATGAAAAGATATTGTTTAAGACACTGCTTCAGATTCCTTTTGTTAGTAAGACAACTCTATTGGTGTATTGAAGTTTTAGATGTCACTATCCATTTATATTTTAGCTAAATTTAGAATTTATAAGAACTACTGTATATTTTTAAATTGTGATTATTATGTTAATTAGTAATTTTCCAATAAAACTTGGGGACTCTATCATATTTTTTTGTCAAAATTCAGTTTTTGAATGTCAGAAACTCCAAAGTCACTCTTAAGCGGCATTACTGTTAGTACTTGCTTACACTGGGTCCCTGCATTACTTTTCAGGATATTCTGGTATCTGTTGAAAATACCGTAATATCTCGGATCGAGGCTGTGAGTCTGTGTTCTGATCAACAATCAGATCTTGAATTGAAAGTCAACAGAAACGCTCTAGAACTGTGGACTCCTCTTAAAAACGATATCATCTCCTCTGAACACTTTCAAAGACAATTTGCCACCTTGGATAAAGCAATGAAAGGAACAGTGGCCACTTACTTGGGTGGCATTCCAGGTATCTGCTCACTAGCTTCAGTTTTGAAAAATATATTTTAAATCAAATTGATAATATTTTTAATATATAATTTTAGCAAAGAAGCATCAGTGGGGAAGAAAAAAATTTGTGTTCATTATTCTTTCTCTGGGGTTCTGTACTGACATTTTATTGGTGCATTCATTTTTTTTAAATGGTGAACTGAAACTGATGAACTTTTGGTGCATTTGGATATCCTAGCCAAAAAGAATATATTGGTGGCTCAAAGGAGTAAGGCGCCGGCTCCATATGACAGAGGTGGTGGGTTCAAACCCAGCCCCGGCCAAAAAAAAAAAACATGCAAAAAGAATATATTATTTCCTTTAACCCTCACAATAGCCTTTTAAGTTCAATATTTATTCTCCAATTCATTCATAATTTATCCCATATTTATTCATCCATTATTCAGTTCATCTATCTTTTATCCAACTTATATTAAGAACTTATATCCCAGATACTAAGGACATAATAATGAACAAATAGATATGGTCCCTGCAATTAAGGCTTTTACAGTCTACTAGCAGAGGCAGACATTAAACAACTGATTAAGAAAATGTGAAAATAATTAAAATTGTGGTCATTTCTATAGAGGAAGAGTAGGGATGCTTTAAAGTCTGAAAATGGGGACATGACTCGCAATGGTAGGGGAGGCCTGGAACAACTTCTCTGAATAAGAGAGTAAAATTAAATCTGATATTTGAAGAGTTAGATAAATTTAAGAAGGTGGTAGGAAGAATAGAGGGATTAGAGTTCATATGCAGGTAAAAGGTCCATATGAGGGAAAGATGGACAAAAGGGATGAGAAACTTGAGGACTCTATAGGAGTCTGGTTAAAGCACGTCAAGCAAGAGGATGGTAGTGGAACATGAGGCCGTGAACTGAGTGGGTGGGGGAATAGTTTGCGGATGTGGTTCTGGGACCTGAGTCTTATTTTGAGACAGAATCATTGAGAAGTTTGGACCAGAAAGTAGCATATTCATATAATACCTTAAAAAATTCACTCTGCATAATAGATAGAGATGAATAAGTGAGAGGCAAAAGTGGGTACAGTTGCGATGAGTTGGGAAGCTATTGAATTAGCCCAGATGAAGTAGCAGTAATCACAATAATTACACTACCATCAGCTAGTGCATAGCAAACGGTCTGGCCAGTGTTCAGAGCACTGCAAATATATGAACTCATTTAATTTTCAAAATTGTCCTGGAAGGCAGGTCTATTAGTATCCCCATTTTGCAGATGAGAAAGCTGCTGGAACAGGGTGACAGCAGCGGAGATGTATGTAGGGAGTAGATTTGAAATGTATGTGAGAAACCAAATTATTAGGATTTAACAATCAAAAGACAGGTGCAAAGGTGACTCGGATCTCTAGCATGAATGGTTGCGTGGATGGAGATTCCATTTATCCAGATGGGGAAAACTGGAAGAAAAACAGGTTGACCTTTAACTTAATTTTGTAAAATAGGAATTAGCACCAAAATTTTATTTGAAATTGCAAAAAACTAAAAATGAGGCAGGAAGTTCTTTAGAAGCATTTTCAGGTACCACGTACAGGTTTTTCTCATGGGGATAATTGTGAGTTTGATATCTGGGCTTCTAATACCCTGTATTGTATTACTTTAACTGTTCAGGGTCTTGGTTTCCTATATATGGAAATTTTATCTGGGCTTTTGGGAAATAGAACTAAAAAGACTCTAAGGATGATACATAGATAGATAGGTAAGTAGTTAGGATGGTTAATTATTAAGGAGTATTATTTCAATTCAAGTCAAAACTACAGAGGGTACCAAAATAAGGTATACACATTTTAAGAAATGAAAAAAACTGTATTAAATTTGTAAAACTCAACATATACTTATGACAAAAGAGGGAGATGTGTCACATTGAGCACCTCTTGTAATTGCAGAGCCAAACATGACTTGAGTATTATAAATTTATTACAGTTTTTTTCCTTTCCTAAATGTGAATACATTTTTTGGTACCGTCTGCATATTGAAATCCACCTACTGCCTTATTCCAAAAATAATTAAATGCAATTTTCAAAAATCAAACAATGAAAGTGTTTAAAAGAAGTAAAAATATCAAAATTTTAATGCTTTCAAGATTTAGCAGTAGCACTGAGGACTTGCTGACTGACTTCAGGCGGGATTTGTTGACAGAAAGAGTGAGTAATATCTGAGAGGTGCTGAAAATTCAGATAAGAGTGTAAACCATGAAAAGGGTAAATTATCAATAGTACTCAAAGTACAGTTTAAATTTCTTTTAAAAAATTAACAAACTCAGGGGAAATCAGTGATTCTGAGGAATTTTGTGATAATGGCATAATCTATGATGTTCAGCTAGACTTGAAAGAGATTCTTAACAAATGCTATGAGGTCATCCAAAAGTACGGACATTATTCATTGTACTGGCAAGCTA